TGAAAAGTGAATGCATGGCAATTTCCAGTAAACGCAATAAATGGAATCCATTTCTCCGCCTTTCCTCTTAATTCTGTCCGTTACGCAGTCCCTCCTTTTCATATCTTGTTGTGAATCTAGGGTAAACGATTACATCCAAAAGTTGCTGGACAACAGCAACAATGACTGATCGCTAGTTGACTTTTAGGGATTTTTGTAGTTTTCTAGTTTACTAGTGTTTATGTGTTATAGGATTAGAGTCTTATAGTGTTGTTTAAACAAGTCCTATATACCCTGCGCATATCCTTAAAGGGGATACAGAAAATTAAGAGGTGATGAAACTGGAAAGTCCTGAACGCAGGCGAAGTGAATTACCTGGAGGTTACCTGTATATGAAGTTTGTGATACATCGCCGTTTCGTTTTTTATAATCACGTAGACAAAAAACTGATTTCTGATTTACTGTCTCTGAACATGAACGACTCGGTAAGTGGTCTGAAATACGATCTTTGTTGCCATGGATTCGTGAACTACTATACAGCTTGAAGAATTGTAGCTAAAACAGTCAGTAGTACAGCACTGAGGATCAAGTATTAAGCAAGGGTGTTGCATGCGAATTTCTCAACCCTTATTTCAACACTCTGGGTCACGGTTTTAGTTGAGGAACTGAAATAAACTGAAATAATCTCAACATTTTATTGGCTCGTGGACAACAAAACGAACGATACCCGTCTATAGACTATCACAGTTTGGTGGCAGCAGCGAAATGTTGATTTCTCAATTAAAACCAGTCCATTAGTTGATTATATCTCTTTCATGTTCGATAGGGTCCACTGTTCACTGTGGCCTTTCGCTCAGCCGTTTCCCGGGCATTGTAGGTAACCTCCCAGCCGACCTTGCAGTATTCAATAGTTTTAGAGTAATACAGTTTCATGTTGGCTTCTTCTGTGAAGCGGAATTTGGGGTTAAGTATCCTCTTCGGTTTTCTATCTCCAAGCGTTTTGTTGAATTGGAATATCCAGCAGGTAAAATTCCAACTTTCTTTACTCGCATGGAAGTACTCTCACGATGTTGCAGATTTCAAACCATGTAGTTTATGGCAAAGGTTTGTGCAACAGACAATAACTCACGGTCTGCCATAGGATATGCACGCAACATACGTGAACAGCCTCTCTGCTGTTTGTTCGTCTTGTGAGTTGGACGAATGAAACCGTCGTGTACGAAACCAATATCGTTGGCCTCATATAATTAAGTATAATTATAATGCGTATAGGACTTCGCCACTCACAATAACGCGGAAGCGTACTAGCACGAGATCAATAATTCAAAATTTTAAATACCTCGCTCCTTAGTGATGCCGGGTCAGACCAGCAGATCGGCTGTGGTTAACTAGTGAACCACTAATGAGCGACCCAGAAAAGAAAATCTGCCGATATTTCAACACATTTGGAGGCTGCTGGTACGGAGATAGTTGTAAATTTCTGCACATTCCGGATAAAAAACCACCATGCAAGTTTTTTGGGTATGTTTAAAACAGTGATTATAAGAATTTGTGCGCACCTTTTTATGTCGATCAAAGGTCGTCCACGGGATGTCGTTACGGAGAAAGCTGTCATTTTTCGCATGACCGAACACCATTCAAATCAGTGGAAAATTATAACAATCCTTCAGTGGAACTTATCAAAGAGGTGAGTTGCCACTGTAAGCTTACTGTGAAGTGAGGGTGTCAGGAGTTACGTTAGTTCACGTCACGTCGGGCTCACCAACTATTAGTGCACAGGTGGCGATAGCC